GCACAAACTACAGATGCTAACACCTGCCAAAAGGACAAACATGAAGGAAACAGAAAATATTAAGAAAAAAATGTCTCTTTCTCTGAGGATTTCACTTTACTGTGTGAGATGTGAGACTCATTCACACACAGCTCACACACTTGCAGAGCAGTTTTCCCAGGAACCCTGAGCAGAAGCAAGGAAGACTGCAAGAAACTACTCTCAGCCTCAGAATCCAGACTGTTGCAGCTCCACAAATTGAGATCTCTGCAAAAAGCCCTGTGAGCAGGGTCTAGGCATCCTCACTCCTCCCACAAGAAGTCCACAGGCAGTCACTAAATGTCAACAATCCCTAACAACAACAAAGCAAAACAAAAAAACAAAACCAAGTTTGGGCAGGTGTGCATAGGTAGAATAATTTTCTTCTACTAATGAAACATTTTTCTGATACAGGTGAGTCATCATAAATATTCAAAAAATGCTTTATAATTTTGTTTAAAGTGTATCTGACAACTATAACATGGTTTGGCCAGATATACTCTTACAGCATCCATACTGCACCTGCCTGGGCCCAAAGTGTAACATAAGAACATATGAAGACACATTTCTGAATGCTGTATTCACATCCTAGACTGCATTATGTCTCAGTCGGACAATTAATGGGGAGTAAATTGTTGAGTCCAAGGGCATGCAAATAATGGGGGATCACCAAAGTCTATGAAATCAGAAAAGAACTTTCTTCCAAAAAAAAAGAAAGAAAGAAAGAAAGAGGAAGGAAAGAAAGAAAGAAAAGAAAAGGAAAAGAAAAAAAATCACTGCAAGGCTCAGAAAGCTTACCAGTTAACTGGGACCATAGCCAGTTTGGGCTTCTGAAATTGTAACAACAGGAGCTGGGTTTGGGCCTCCTCTTATAGTAAAATCAGGCACCAGGTGTGGGTCAACAAGCGTTTACAACCTTGAGATCAGGCTTAATGTCACATTACATTTTAAGTTTTACAACTTTTGGTTATATGGTATTAGGATGTTAACCTAAGATACCTGCAAAAGCCTGTGGCTGATGATACAACCACTTTTTTTTTTCCACCAAGAAAATTGTGTTTAATTTAAACAGTGCTAATGTTACACATAATAGAAGTAAACATAGTGATAGTATAAATCAGCAAACACATATCCAAAAAGTTCCGTGCCACTTTTTTTTTTAAGAGGTTACATTTGTCAAGTTGACATTTGTAAGGGATGATAAGAAGACATAATAATAAAACAGAAGGCTTCTAACACAGATCATAATATATTGTTTTTTCCTTAAATATGAAGTATAACAAGAATTAAAATATAATATAGATACTGGTATATATGACCTACTCACTTTACAAATTTTGATGTTTTTTTTTCTATTGTATGTACAGATTAAATATACACTGTTACTCTGTTAATCCAGAAAACAGTTTTGTTTACAATTATTGATTATTCATAGACACTTAAGAATTTTATAAAGTCTTCACTTTCATAAATATTTGCCTCTGATCTTGGGCCACACACCCGGGCTTGTGATTAGCTGTGCATATGTGGGGTGTTCTTGTGACCTTTAGAGTAAGTATGTGACTTCCAAGAATTCTCTTTCCCATCTGTTGTGACAATAGTATTCCAGTCAGAAGTAATTTCTTTGTCTGGTTGTGGGTGGAAATCTGGCTTGGAACAAAATGGTGTCCAAGGTTGCCTATGTATTAATAAGCTCTGAGAACAAACTATTGTTTGTGGATGAACACTCCTTTCTTAGTCTTGTCTAGATAATTTTTTTTAAAACTATTTTATGTTAGCATTCACAGAGGTTTTCATTAGAGTTAGGATCTACACCTGGCAGGCAATATAAGCATTTGTGTTTTGTTTTGTTTTTTTGTTTGAGTCTATTCAATTTGGCTTAACATAATATTTGTAGTACCAACAATTTTTTTTGAAATATTCATGATACTTTTTTTTTCTGTTCCTGAAACAATGCAAGGCAGAGAGGAGAGTCACTAGAACAGTTGAAATTTAAGGCAGTACAACGCAGAGGGTCCCGTACTGGCAATAGTTAGAAGTTAACCTTTGTCTGCAATACCTGCCTAGGCAGGAAGACCTTTTGGCAGGTGTTATCATCTTTCATGAAAAATTCCAGGTAAAGGAGCAAATCAGGAACAAGACAGAGAACTGTGACAGACAACACTTTTAAGGGCTGCGCCTGGGGCGCAGGGAAGCACCCAGCTTGTGGTGATGGAAATGACAGCACCTGGCTGCAGGTGATGACCTGAGCCGCCGCCTCCGGCACCGCCACGGGCGGCCCGGAGCTGACGGTGTCTTCTGAGCAGCCTGAGCGAGCACAGCCCGGTCCCCTCCCTCCTGGGTCCCAGCCCCGCAGCTCCTCTCACCTGGGAGGTTCCAGGGCCGCCGGGCTGCGGTTCCCGCCACTGCGCTGCTGACTGTGACTTTCCCAGGCCGCCCCGCGCGGAGACTGCGGCTCCGGAGTTTTCAGGTCCCCGCGGCACCCAGGTCTGCAGCGCGCTGCTCCCGGAAAAGAACAGGGAATGTTTCACTTTCCTCCCTTCGCTCCCTTCAACCTGGCTCCTTGGAGCAGCTCCTCCTGGCCCCGCCCACTACACCCCGTTTCCGGTTTCCCGCTTCCAGGGTCCCACCTACCGCACAGATCCTTTTCCCCTACACCCCTCTTAGCATGCTATGTCTCCGCCCCGTCGGGGACCCGTCCCTCCCCCTGTCTCATGCTGTCTTCCACACAGCAACACCTGTATGATTTCATTATCTGTAACTACGTGTTAGATGTCGAAGTTCCCCAGCATTTCTGTTTACTTTCTACCTAGTGATTGTGTCATGTGTTTGGAAACCGTTGAGTAAAATGAACAATATAGCCTTGTAGCAAATGGTGCATTTTTACCATTGGTCAGTATTCTTCCTTTTCTGTTGGATTGTCTGTTACCTTACATAATTGTGGCCACCCATCTTCTTTATTGCTGCTATCCTCATTCACAGTCCTTAAGACCTGAAGTGACAAAGACTAAATCTTCAAGACTGAAGTGATGCAGAACCACCAAGACACTTTCATTTGAAAAGGCAAGAAGAGGTCCAGTCATTGTTTCTGAGACACAATCTCAAGAGGAGAGCAACAGGGAAACATGGATGCCTCACCAGTAAATACATTCAAGATCAGTGAAATGTCGTGTCCCCCCTCCTCCCAATGTCATATGCAAAACTTTAAAACTCCTGTTTTGAAAATGTTACCTGAGGGATGGAGAGACAGCTCAGCAACAAAGAACACTTACTGCTCTTGCAGAGGACTGGAAGTCAGTTCATAGCACTCATGTGTTGCCTTGTAGCCATCCATAATTCCAGTTCCTTGGGGTTTAATGTCTGTTAAGCATTTCTCATACCTACCCCACATGATGCTTTGTATGCTATTCAATACAGACAGAGAAAAACACTTTGTTATGGATAGACAGACACATACAGAGTACACAGACAAACAAACACACAGAAAGAAACAGACAGCAAGCAAACATACAGGGACAGATTCACAAGATAGCCTTCAAGCAGACACAGATCCAAACTCATGAAACAGAGAACCAGGGGATAGAATGGACAGGGAGCTTCAAGTAGAGAATTCAAATCTGGACTTTCTCTTTGTTAAATGATTCCAAGGAAAGAAATGCTTTCATTTCTTTCCTTGACTCAAATAGGATGCATTATATGTGGCATGGAGTTAATCACTAACGTGCACAATTAGCTGGAGACATCATTCTTTTTCCATACGAAGAGAAACAATAGAACTTACTACAAGGTAAAACAAGCAGTCCTGTCATCTGGAAGGGGCCCGTGGGATCAGAAGCCTGTGTTTTAAGGACAGACCCCTAGCTCTGTATTTGTATTTCTGTGTGCTCACCTCCCTGCAGAGCTAGGATGCCTCTTAACCTGTCATGATCATCACAGCACAGCTTAAAACTCAGAACACACCAGAGAAACCTGGTTCTCATTATAATCAGGACAAATCTATTTCTTAGCTACAATCTCCGAAGTGGCTTGGGAAATTCTGGAGTCTGGTTTCCTCAGACTATGCAGATGGGCATGGATGTACACAGAGAACTGTAGGCAACAATCAGAACAACATCTGTGGTTAAATGGCTAAACAGTACAGTATGTCTGATAGTTTCTATTCCTAGTGTTTTTGGGGAAAGTATAGAGTCCTTTTCCACAAGCAGTGTACAACATTGTTCCTTTCCTCACATCCCTGTCAGAATTCATTATAAGTACTGGTGAAGGCCATTCTGACTGTTGGGAGAGACCGAATCTTAAAAGAGAGTTGGTCTTCATCTCTTTGATAGCTGTGTATACATGACTTTTGGTCAGCATGACTTGAGAGATACACAAGCTAACTGCCTGGCTTAATCAGGAGACACAAGTGTACAAGCATGTGTGATCCCTATTGACACTAAAGACACTAAAGACTTGAATTAGGGATTCTAAAAAGAAATGATGAAATCTCTCAATTCATACCATACACCAAAATTGCACCAACATGGACAAATTCAAGAGATTTAGAAGCTGCAGCAAAAATGAAGCAGGGATAAATGAACCTTGATTTTAAAAAGAAGCCTAGAAGTAGATTGATTTGCCACAGAATTATGTCAGAATTTCAGAGAAACTACTTAAAGTATTCCTTGATGTAAAATGAAGACAAGACTTCCAGATTCTTTATGACGTTTACATTACCTGATATCAAAGCAGATAGAGAGGCAAAATGAGAAATTTTAACTTTTATTATTATCTGTTTGCCATTTCATATGATAGACCTTGATTAATGCACACCTTGATCGATCCCTTGCTCCCCGCACTTGCGGCCCATACACATCCATCCTTCTCTCTGTCTCCCCCAGTCTCTCCCCAATCTCTCCCTCATTCCATAACTCTCTCATGTTCATTTCTATTCATTTTGGTTTTTTGATCTACCAAGATTAACCAGGACCATCTGTGAGGATATGGTTTTGGAGCTACGTGTTGGAGCTGTTACCTTCATCACAAAAGACACAACTAGAGACAGTGATGTCCGTTCTCCTAAAGTCACAGTGGAGAGGTAAAGGGTGGGGCCCGGTGAGCCTCTCCACTTCCTAGAGTGATTGTGGCTAGGCCTGGTCTTGAGTGAGCCCAGTGCCGGTGAGTACAGTTGCTCTAGTTTACTGATTAGGAGTAGTCTGGAGAACTCATGTCATGGCCGTTCCCTATCTTTCTTTTATTTCCTTCCCACCACCTCTTTCTCAATATTCTTAGAGCCACAGCAAGCATGGTGCAAATGACTTCTTTAGGGCTGTGCCCGTTTACATAGCTCATTTTCTCCATGTTGGTCAGCTTCTACATTCACCAACGAGGTTTTGAATAGAATGTTCTGTGTTTCCCATGAAAGCACCTTCAGTATGTTTCCCAGAAGACAGACTTGTTTCTGAGTTAGCATGACCACAACATCAGCACCAGCTGACAGCACAGATTGACTTCAGCACTGGGCTGTTAATGGGCTGATTCACCACTGACTTCCTGAGACACCTATTTCCTTTCAAAATGCTTAGTCCCTGAAACGTTTTACTCCAAGTCAACTTTGCTATTAGTGGAATTCTGGATGCTTGAGTAGCAATAGTCGGGGTGGGGTCTGTAAGGGAAGGATAAAGATGGCTTCTTAGCATCCCTCATTTGCATAGTGGTGGAAATTATTATCCTGCTTCCCAGTAAAGCTCTCCACAGTGAGTTACTGTGTCTCAAATTTAGAATTTTTCATATAAGTGTAGAACATACAAATGGAATTTCACTTTTACCTTTAACTGGTGCTACTTGTACGGAGCATTATTTTAATTTTAATTCATTATTTTGTTTGAACGAGCCATCCAGCAACTCTACCTTATCTTCAACCCCTGATACATGTGTTACATGTTTGACCATCTTGAACATGACTCTGCTTTTTGAGATCAGTATATTGACTATCATTTAACTTGGGGATAGTAATATGGTTTGTGCTTTGAGCCAAGGCCATTTTTATTTTAGCTTTAATTTATTTTGCAAGTGGGCCTTGAGCCTCACAACTTACGGTGTTTGTTGTGTTTTGCTGTTTTTATGTTTGTTTGGTTTGGTTTTTTGAGACAGGGTTTCTCTGCAACTTTAAAGCCTGTCCTGGAACTTGCTCTGTATATTGGGATGGCTTCGAACTCACAGAGATCCACCTGTCTCTGCCTCCCTAGTGCTAGGATTAAAGGCAAGAGCCACCACCACCCTCGAATCAGAGACTTGTGTTAGAGACTGGACCTGACCTTCAGCTAAGAGATGTCCCACAGGTGAGCAGAGCAGCCTTGAGTGTGAACCTAGTGTGAAGAAGACCTTCAGCATAATTAAGTAAATTTTGTTGTATTAACTACATGCATCTGCCTTCTTGCTCGCGACACAGGATAATTAATATCCCAAGATTTCAGAACCCAGGGTGGGGGATCAGATACCGGGGTGCAGCGTCCTCCTGGATGCAGCTCTGGTCTAGGCTGGCAGCAAGCGTGTGGAGTCTGTGCAGAGCGGGTCCAGGGCAGCCTGACAGCTGCAGCTGTGTGGGAGGGGCGAGGGATTGTAGACACCTGTCAATCAGAGGAGTGTAGTAGGAAAAACAACAACAACAACAACAAATCTGCAGCAGGGACTTGGGAAACTAAAGAAAAAAGAGAAGCTCGTGGTAGGCTGGTGTAGAGGACATGTCACCGGAAGCAGAATGCAGTGGGCGGCTCCGGAAGAAGCCATCTCCAAGGAACCTTGCTGAAATGACAGGAAATTCTTCCTTTCAATGTTGGACTCGGGGAGCCCCGAGTCCGGAATCATCAAGGAAGAACCGGCCGGGTTCGGGGACCTGAAAACTCCGGAGCCGCAGTCTCCGCGCGGGGCGGCCTGGGAAAGTCACAGTCAGCAGCGCAGTGGCGGGAACCGCAGCCCGGCGGCCCTGGAACCTCCCAGGTGAGAGGATCTGCGGGGCTGGGACCCAGGAGGGAGGGGACCCGGGCTGTGCTCGCTCAGGCTGCTCAGAAGGACAAAATTCTGTCGTGGATATCTTTGCGTTGTCAGTAAGTCTGAGATCTTATGAACCGAGTTGTACCGTGATTTTTTTCCCCCACCCATCTTACTATTCCCAGAATTCTGTCATAAAATAATTCATAAAGTAGCCCACTAGAGCATTTGCATTGTCTGCTGTTTGCAAACAAGGATTTCTTTGCTATTATGGCAGTTCCAGATCACGCTTTCTAACTCCGGTTTCACCACTTGCCCCTTTCGCCCTGAGGAGCAGGCATTCCCACAGGGGTTTGTAGATAGTAACCACACGGGGAACCAGTGCAGATTTGATTGAATCAGAAAATATTCTCTATCAGCGCTCCAGTTATGGCTGGAAACATAACATTTACTAAGCAAAGTTTTTGTTGCCTATTAATTTGCAGTCTAGGATGTAAATACAGCTTTCATAAATGTGTCTTCTTATGCTGTGTGATTGCTACATCTTAGGTCCAGGCAAGTGCAGTATGCATGCTGTGAGAATATATTTTATAGCTAGCATGAAACAAAATTTCAGAGGTCATGTGAATAATTATGACCACTCACCTGTATCAGAAAAAAATGTTTCTGTGGTTGAAGAAAAGCGCTCTGTCCATGCACACCTGTCCAAACAGTTGTATTTTTTTCAGGGTTTTTTTTTTTTTTTTTTGACATTAAGTAGACTTCCTGCCGGAGGAGTGGGGAATGCCTGGATCTTGCACACAGAACTTTTTTTGTACAGATCCTTGTGGAAGAACTGTAGCAGTGTGGATTCTGAGGGTGGGAATAGTTTTCTTGCAGTCTGGCTTTCTCCTCTCCAGGGTTCCTGGGAAAACTACTCTGCATGTGTGTGAGCTGTGTGTAAATGAGTCTCACATCCCAGAGAATACAGTGAAATCCTCATCACTAAATATGTGGAGCATATAGTGTGTACATTTTGGTCATTTCAACTGCTTTTGAGCATGGTCTATTTATTTCACTTGCTTATTATTGACTACCTTATTATTTGGTTTGTGATTTTTTTTCTTTTTTCATCTTTGATAAATTCTGGATGTTTTGGTATTGTACTGTGAAAAGTTTGCCAATGAAGAATTCATTGTGTAGGCGGTTTCTTCCTTTTTTTTTTTTTTTTAAATTATTAGTCATTTCCATGTAAGTTTTTAATTGCATGCAGTCTTGTTTGTGGGTTCTTGCTTTGTGTCCTGATAATTTGTAGGCTCATTTATATCACTGTATCTGCTACTCTTACAGCTTTGGGTGTCTTTTCTTCTGTCACTGCCATGGTGCTGTTGTTTGTGTGTGTCTGCACTGTTGTGAGAAATCACAGTGGGGCGTAATCAAGCTCTGTTCTGTGTGCCTGGGCTTGCTGTGCACTCACACAGTCTTACTGCTTCCTTGTAAGTTTGCAGGACCCTCTTTACCGTATCTTTGAAGTTTATCATGGATAGAATGATTGTCATGGATTTTGAGTTAACCACATACATCTTTTGACACTGCAATTTTCACAATAATATGTCTTATTCAAAGGGCATACAAGGTTTTCTGTCTTCAAGTGGTCTTAATTCCTTCAGTGAATTCAAGTTTCCATTTTATAGGACTCTATTCTGCTAATTTTTTTTCCTTTTTAAAAATTTACTGTTTATTTTCTCTTTAGTTTTAATTAGTTAAATAGAGGCTCCCAGCAATCACATGGTGGGTCACATCTGTAATGAGATCTGGTGCCCTCTTCTGGCTTGCAGACATAAATGCAGACAGAACACTACATATAATAAAGAAATAAATAGAGGCAATAACAGCTCATATAAAGACTTTCTAATTGGTCGGTTATATAGATGATAAAGAAAGGTCTTCTTCCAATTAGATATTGATAGTGCCACAAGCAGCGCCTTCAGGATGCTTGGCATCACCAGTGGCTGTTGTGCATATTCTATTTCTGGTCCATGAAAAGTTTCAGGTGCTTTCTGAAGACTCTTTTTGTCCTATGCAGGGTCTCACAATGCTCAGTCAGTCGTAATCACCGTTGAAGCATAAGACAGAGCCCCGGATGATGAAGGGAGAGTACCAAAGGAAGTATGCCGGAGGGATTGCGGAAGGGGTAGGGAGAGAGAGGATCAAGTAGAAACAGGACATGAAATTGGTTTTTCAAGACTGTTTGGTTCAAAATGTTTCTGAAGAATTCCACTGAGAATAATATCAGAATATTCTTATTGTAGGTAAGAAAAGACTTTCTGTGTAAGTACAATTTTACTAGACTTTGCATGTGAGTGATGCTATTCCTCCCTGATTTACATCACTGATCATGTTTTCATGTCTTTTTCATATGTTTTTAAAGTCTACAGTTTTTAAACATGTACAACAGCAGTACTTTAGCACTAGAAAGGTTACAATGCTCTTTTCTCAGAGTCACAAAGTATTCCATGCAGGTAGACAAGAGCCACACATCATATGAGATAACACAATACAGTGTAGGTATTGGGGAGACACCATGGTTGTCTTTGCACTTGTGAATTTATAGGCAGGAACAGTATGTATTTGTAGGCAATATTTTCATAGGCCTTGCCTATGAATTTCTTCCATCAGATTCGTTGATTTCAGTGGATTGGCCTTATAAATATCAGCTGTCATCTGTAATTGCCTCATGGCCCAGAATATCTCATGACAGCTTTCATGTAAATTTGTACCATTGAAGTATACACCATGGAGAGAGAGATTTAGAATTAGTCATATAAATCTTTTAACACTGTGGGTTTTACAACATGCTCTATTCCATGTGTATACAAAGTGCCAACTCATTTCAAGATTCCATTTTAGATGTGTCTTTTCTGCTTGTTTCCCTAACCAATTTTGTTTGTTTTCTGTTTTACTTAAGTAGGAAAAAAATAGCAGTTTTCATAAATCCTTGGTAATTGGGTCATTATATAGATAATGAAAGCATTCTGCCTCCAACTGGGCATTGATAACACCCTTTGAGTTCTATTTCTGTAAACCTTAATTTTTATAATTAGTAAATATTCATATTTAATATTTGTATCAGCTTATTCACTCACCATTATCTTAAATCACCCTGTGTCCCATCCCTGGTTAAACACATTTTATTTCCATAAATCCCCCTCATACTTCATGTATGATTTTGGGCATGTGTGGCCCAGATAGGCAGACCAACATGTATTTGTATTTCCAACTGCAATGTCATAAGGCAGGTTGTTTCCCCATCCTCCCGCTATTACAAACTTTTTTTGGTTTTTTTTTTTTTGAAAAGTTTTCTGGTATTATTTTAGGTTTTAAGTTTTTTTTTTATGTGGCTTGACATTATCCATAACAGAGTTGTATTAATTTTAGCTTTTTATTTTTGACATATTGATGTGAAGTTTCAAGAAGAATTCCAGTCTTTGTTTCTGTGAGAATAACTGAGAGAAGACCAACAAGAACAATGAATGCTTCTGTGGTGAATGCTCCCCAGGTCAGTGTCATGTCCATAGTTCTTTGAAAATTGGTTTTATTATTAAAGCCATTCAAGACTTTAATTCTCTGCCTCAGGCAATGTTATCTAAAGTCTTTATTTTATTTTCTATGATTTACCTTTCTTTTCTTCTGTGATAATCAAGAGTATGTCTTTAGATCATTCATCTGCATAGCACAGCTTTGGCCCATTACATTTTCACTCGATTTCAAACTGTGATGACATAAATTTTCATGGAATTAATAACTGCCATTCTGAAAGAGAATCTATTGTAAATGCACTCAAAGAAATATATTGATGGCCTTTTTCTACATAGAATGGACTTCTGTCCTTCCTTTTATATTCATGAGGAAAGGTGGTTTCATGTATCTATTTTATTTCCAGGATGGTCAGGTTTCCAGAAACAGGCTTATGCAAATGGACATGCAAGTACATTGACCCTTTCACTGACGTAACAGAGAAATTTATGCAAGAGTACGGTTACAATTAGAGGAGACTTGCTGTCTTGAATCCAAATAGTAAATATTGCAGCACCATAGAGCGTACATAATGGAAGGAATAATGTATGTTTCACTTCCATAAAATGGATTGGTCTGTGAGGATCCTTGTCTCTTTGGCATTTTATATAAAATAATGATGATTGGCGTGTTGATACCCAAAATCTATTTGTCTCAGTAAAGGTTCTGCCATTTCTCAGTGATAAGTTCTCAATAAACAGATGTTGATCTCTCTCCCCACCTCTATTTTTCGTAAGTGTCATAAACACTACTGCCTCTTTTAATTCCATCATGTGGAATATATTACTAATAATTTTCTAGGTAGTATTGACTTGGTGCTGTGCATCAGGCATCAATTTTCAAGCATCAGTAGATGTCCTTTTAATTATTTTACTGTCTTTTTAATTTTTGTAAGAAGAATGTTACTTCCACCCTATGGTTTTACTCTCCCTGAAGCTATGATTTTGTGTAGGGAGAGAATTCTTAAGTAGTGATGGTTCCATTTCTTTCTTTTCAGTAATATTCTATGAATGTATGAGGGCTCATATATTTTTGTTCTATGTACACTGCATGTGCATTATGCCACTGGATGCCCATAATTGGCACCAAACTCTTGGCACTGAAGTCAGGCATTGTAGTGAGCTGCCATGTGTGTAGAAGAACAGCAAGTTCTCCAGACCATAGGTTTACATTTGTGGTGCACATTTGTGACAAAGGCCATATATAACTTTTCATCTTTTAGTTTTCAACAATGATGGAAGAATTATAGGTGATATTTATCTGTGCAGCCTAAAATACTGTTAGATTAATGAACTCTAATACTGAAGAAATGAATTAAGGTGAAATTAGAAGATTCAGATTTTTAACTGACCCATTCTCATGAGCAATAATATATTCAAAATGAATGAAAGATTAGTGTAATCATTACTCAACTTAATACATTATTTCATTCACAAAAAATGTTTCTACTTCATTTTAATGCATTGTCACATATGACATTTATTTATGCATAGTCTCTTTTTGTAGTGAAACACTCTGGGATTTATGTAATTATTATAATCTCTATTGTTTGTGTCCACTCTTAGAAAAATTTAAACAATAATAATTCTGTCTAAATCTGAATTTTCAGTTTACTTCTTGGTTTTGAAGATACTATAAAATAACTTCAGCAAGAGATTTGATTCTATGTCTTATTTGGGATCTTGGATGTATGCATTGATGTTGCTGTGCTTACTCTTCAAAGAAGAAATACTGATTTTAACTCATTCATGAATTCTGGATTCTACCTATTTGTTTTAGACAGGCTGCAGCACTGTTTTGGGACCTCAAAATTTGAAGGGAGCATTTTAGAACAGAATAAGAAGAGACCCAGCTGCAAACAGGCAAACAAGATTTATCTAGTGTCCAATATTTGAGCAAGGTCAACAATTGTAGAATTTGGAAAAATAATTTTGCTCAATAGCTTTACCATCTGAGATGTGATGCTGGGATTCTGTTTGATACCAATACATAAAAGTACATTTCAGTCTCTAATGCCCAAATGTGTATCTAATATAGCCTAAAAGTTTATTGACTTTGAGAATTATATCATTACCCTGTTTTCATACAGATTAAAAAAAGTTAAGACTATGAGTATTTTAGAATAAGACTATGGGTATTTTAGAAAGTATCTTTAAAATTATAATTAAATTTTATGTCATTATATATGTGTGTGTGCTATTTATGTCTCCTGCCTGAAGAGATTGGATGAGTGAATTGGCTCTTATAGAACTGGAGTTAATATCTATTTTATAGTGCCTTAAGGGTGGTGGGAACCACACCATATTTTAAAGTACTTTCCAAGACTTAATGGAATCCAAACCTGACATAAAAATTTCAAATGTATTGATGATTGCAAATCCTTTATCTGCTGCTCAGGTATTAGAAAAAAATCAGAAAACTCACGAAGGAGAAACACCTTAGAAATATAAGTAATGTAATAACTCATTCTATGTATTTATGTAAGAGCAACAATGCTTAACTTCTGACACATCTCTGGACCACATCTCAAACACTTTTGTCTTTGATTAATTGCTTTGCCTCAACTACATTACAGAGCTATCGCTAATTCTTTAGATCTCTTTTATCTAGGAAAGCATTTTGTGCAGTAGCACATGGTAATTAGGTAATTTTCCATTACAGAGTCTGTTATCATTCAGGGATGTGGCTGTGGATCTCTCACAGGAGGAATGGGAATGTCTAGACTGTGCTCAGAGAGCTTTGTACATGGATGTGATGCTGGAGAATTACAACAATCTAGTCTTTGTGGGTAAGAATGTTCTTCTATAGTCCCTGATTTATCCTTTGTTTTTCCTATTTTGTGTATATATAAACTCTTTGAACTTTCTAGAGACTCCTAGCACTAAGGGAAATTCTAGTTATTAGCATAACTTCTTGATGATATTTCCTTTACATTTTTCTGTTTTCTCTAGAAGAGTGACCAGTGTTGTATCTCCACCTCTCTTAAATAGTATTGAAGGAAAAATTTTAAAAATTGTACATTCAGGGCATGGGACTATATAACAGTACACATAATAATTGGAATATTTTGATTTTGCTATTATTTTAAAGACTCATTTTCTTATTTTTAAAAAAATTCAGAATGTTATAAGTACAGAAAGAGCTGTTGATTGTGAGAATGTTATTCTTTTATTAATTTAAGTTTTGAGATATGGTCTCAATGTGAAAAATTTCTTTCCACCTCCTCATGCCTTAAAACACCATGGAGAATTCAAAGGGTACCAACTGCCACAGCATGATTTTAATCCTAGCATTGTTGGATACTAAAGAGGGTATTTTGAGTTCTATCTTACCCTGGGTTATATTAAGCTTCTAGCTCTTCAATACTTCACAATGTGACTCTGAAAACCATAAGAAAATAGAGGGTCATTCTTCATATGATCTTTTAGAGAGGTCCTTTGTCAAGGTTTATTGTTTAATCACCCACTTGTCCTGTCTCCTGCCAGGTACAATGTTTAGATAAGAATGAGTGGCCTATTTTGGTTCCTGTGGTTTGGTATATATCAGATTGGAGGTTCTGATGAGTTTCCATTTAATGATTGTGAATTAGAAAATGCCTTTGCTGAAAGCTTAATTCCTGAAAATCTCTTGTTTGCATGCCTCAGAAAACATTAGTTATTGAATCTCTTACTCGTGTATTAATCCATGTTTTCCATAATTGTATTATTTTTCCAGAGAACCATTGCACATGTGGTAAATATGAGAAGATATTGGATCAAGGCACAAAGCATGTTGCCCATAATCATGTGACTGTCCAAGAGAAGCTTTTCAGTGTAATGACCTTGGCAAAGTTATTCATGAATCTGCTCAAAGTATACCATATGACAGAAATGGCATTGCAGAAAACTGCAAGAAGGACAGATTTGCTTACCACAGAGAAGGCAGTGTAGAATTATTACATATAAACAGACATCCAAGTTGGAACACTGGAGAAGAACCTTACATGTACAAAGAATGTGTAAACTCTTTTGATTTCTGTTCCATCATTAGTCAACACCAAGGAATCCATACAACAAAGAATGGACACAATAATATAGAGTATGATGAATCTTTTGACTCTAAACATAAATTAATGCTGAATCAAACCAATAGTAGAAGGAATCCATACCAATGCAGGAAATGTGGAAAATGCTTCAAGTTTTACTCAAGCCTCAGTAGACATCAGAGAGCTCATACTACAGAGAAATCCTGTAAATGTACAAAATGTGGTAAATCCTTTCTGCATTTGTCTCAACTCAAAGTACATTGCAAAATCCACTGTGGGGAGAAACCCTACAAATGTACAGAATGTGGTAAGTGCTTTTTTCATGCATCAGACTTAGAAAGACATTACAGCTTCCACAGTGTAGAGAATACTTACACATACAGTGATTGTGGCAAATCTTTTGTCTGCTGCTCAAGTCGTACAAAACATTGGAAAAATGGAGGAGAGAAACGTTTTGAACTTAAACAATATACTAGGACACACCTTGAATACCCTTGTAGAACCTATACAGGTGAGAAACTTTACACTGTGTAATGAATTTGAGAAACCATTTACTGAGAAAGGAAGTCTTAGAACTCATCGGAGAATACATACAGGAGAGAAACCTTACAAATGCAGTGAATGTGACAAATCCTTTACCCAGAAAGGCAGTCTTAGAATTCATCAGAGAATACATACAGGAGAGAAACTTTACAAATGTAGTGAATGTGAGAAGCTCTTTATCTGTGTCTCTCATCTTAGAAGTCATAGGAGAATACATACAGGAGACAAACCTTATAAATGTAGTGAATGTGACAAATACTTTACCCGTGGTTCAGCTCTTACAAGACATCAGAAGATTCACACAGGACTGAAACCTTACAAATGTAGTGAATGTGACAAATCCTTTACAAGGAAATTCTATCTTAGAACTCATCAGAGAATGCATACTGGAGAGAAACCTTACAAATGTAGTGAATGTGACAAATACTTTACTCATGCCTCAGATCTTAGAAGACATCAGAAAATTCATACAGGAGAGAAACTTTACAAATGTAGTGAATGTGAGAATCTCTTTATCTGTGTCTCTCATCTTAGAAGTCATCAGAGAATACATACAGGAGAGAAACCTTACAAATGTATTCAATGTGAGAAATCCTTTAGTCATAGTTCAGACCTTAGAAGACACCAGAAAAGTCATACAGGAGAGAAACCTTACAAATGTAGTGAATGTGACAAATCCTTTACAAGGAAATTCTATCTTAGAACTCATCAGAGAATCCATACTGGAGAGAAACCTTATAAATGTAGTGAATGTGACAAATACTTTACCCATGCCTCAGATCTTAGAAGACATCAGAAAATTCATACAGGAGATAAACCCTACAAGTGTAGTGAATGTGACAAATCCTTTACCCAGAAAAGCAGTCTTACAACTCACCAGAGAATTCATACAGGAGAGAGACCTTATAAGTGTAGTGAATGTGACAAATCCTTTGTGAGTAAATTCTATCTCAGAACTCATCAGAGAATACATACAGGAGAGAAACCTTACAAATGTAGTGAATGTGACAAATTCTTTACGAGAAAATTTTATCTCAGAACTCATCAGAGAATACATACAGTAGAGAAACCTTACAAATGTAGTGAATGAAGCAAATCCTTTACCAACAGCTCCGTGAGAAATTTTATAAATGTAGTGAACGTGACATAGTGTTTACCGAGAAATGCAATCTTGGAGCTCATCAGAGAATCCATTCAGGAGAAAAGCCTTACCAATGTAGTAAATGTAAGAAATCTTTCATCCAGAAAGCCAACTGAAGAACACATCAAAGAATTCATATGAGAGACTCTTTACAAATATAATGTATGCAGAGTAGTCTTTACCTGCTTTCCAAGTCTAAGAAATCACCCGAAAATTCATAACTGGAATTAAAATTTTCCATAGGAAATTATAAGGATAGTCTTTATCCAAGCTCTGTTCTTAGCTACACTTGATGCATCATACTAGAGAATCATTTTGAACATGAGAAACTTGTAAAAACCTTTAATAGTGTTTACTCTTGCAAAACGAGGTTATGTTAATGCAAATTCTGAAAATGTGACAATGTAGGAGAATTTTCATTAACTTTTTACTTGTTCATCCTCAAATACTTCATAATGAAGAAACCTGAGGAACATGCTATTGTGTAACAGTTTCCTAGAGACTCAGTTGATCCACTCTGAAGGGAAGCTAAATAAGGCAGGACATAGAGCTTGAAGGTCTAAAGAGCTTCAAGACATCCCAGAAACTAGCAAGATTCATTATGTTTCACTCAAGTGAAGAGATTCAGACAAATCATGCCACTTAGAAGAGGATTCGTCAACTTAACTCATCAGGACTGGATGCTCTTTAACCTGTAGATATGCCTATGGGTGCTCTGGGTACATAACATTCACTAGGTGTATGCCATGGATTTTAATGATGGAAACCATCTTTATGTACCTTTTGCTCTATAGTCCTGTAAGGCAAATAAAGCTGACTGGCTTAACAAGCTACACTTGGTTCTGTTTTCAGTTCCCAGATGCGTGTGTGCATGTGTGCACGTGTGTATGTATGTATGTTGCCAGGAAAAATGTTTCATGAGATGAGTGTTGAACCCATTAATTGTTCCTCCATATTTGTAAACAGAAAATTGATATTACAGCAGCTGTTCTCATCATGAGAGTTGAAACACCTATGGGTGTTAAACTATCCTTTCACATGGCTGGCTATGACCATAGAAAAACTGATTCCTGGTGGTCTTAGCAACTGAGATACTGTTCCTCTTTCCATCTCCAGATGGGTTAGTCTACATGCAGATATGCCCACATATAAACACCTGGAACTATATTAAAGGGATTGCATCATTAAGGACCTGGAATGAAGGCATTTCAGTCAAGTAAAGTAGTGAAGATTGTGCTCACTGCTCCAGGCATACTGCCATAGTAGTTAGGTAAGCAAAATGAACTCTATATAAATAAAATGTAGAGGCTTTGGGAACCTGAGAATGCTACTCTCTTTGCATTTTAGGAGGGGTGATATAGAGGTGTGCAAAAATGACATGAAAATTCAGCTACAAAACTGTTACTGAAAAATGTCATGCAAACTGGGCTGTTTCATCCATGGCTCTGAACTCATACTAATACCCCATGTTTTAACCAAACTCCAACCACCCTCCGAAAATGCTACCCATGGGCAAATACTACAGACCATAGTGATGTCCTCATGTCCTGTGGTACATAATCACCCTGCTCTGCAAGCCCCAAGAAGTGAATTTCAACTTACTTTGCTAAATCCTTCAAACAATGCTAATATTGAAGATATCCCAGAATATACATCATGAAGCAAAACTCAATAAATGACTTAGCTAGTCACATGTCTTCAGCATTATGTCATGTGTGAAACTATGAAGATTTAAAGAGATAATCTATAAAAAGACAAAATATACAAGTTCATAGACACTTAGAGATCCCCAAAAGTGTGCTGGAAAACCAATTTGAACTACTGAGGAAATATGAAAAAGTGTCTAAGCTCAAAGCATTATATTAGAATTTTGATACTAAAACCAGAAAGACTCAGAAATTTTAGATTTTAGAAAAGGTAGTGTGTAACACTGAGCAAATCCATATCACTACACAATTTCTTTAGATTTCAATTGAAGAAGAAAGTCATATTCACGGGAAAACATTTTTTTAAGAATATTTTGGTGTTCTCAGCAATGGATTTTGTTTAAAAAAAAAAAAGCCCCTGATTAGTGCAATCTTTAATAAATTCAGACTCCTGTTTTCAAATGAGTGAAGATAATTTCTGTCACTTGTCCTGTGTCCGGGATGTTCAACCTTAGCAAGCATTGGGAAGTTAGGTTTCTATACTGGTTGTTAACAATCTGGAGATGACAACAAGTTGGAAAGACTCTGGGGTTTTCAATTGCAAGTGTTCAATGTTTTGAAACCCCTCTGCTTAGTCACCTTTAGGTCGTTATCCTACTTCACTGATTTCCAGTGTCATTTTAAATCTGTAAACTTGTGCACAATGAAAAGCATTTCACCTTGTACCCCTTACACTGCGTTGTTTTCTTCATTTTGTAACTTTTTATACACATGCCTTCTCTAATTCGACACAGCAAGTGTGTGGGAAAGCGGCTGGACTCCCCTTATCCCTATCCCGACCACACAGGTGGGATAGCAGTTTGTTGAAAAGTACAGTGCATGGGTGCTGATTCTTTGGGCCTCTATCTTCTTTTCGGTCGACTTGTTTGTCTCTCGAATTGTCTTCGCTGCTGGGCGGTCACTGACCTGAACCAGCTGCAGTAGATTTCGAAAGTTCTGTTGAGAAATCTCTTAAATATATCATTTCAACTAGCTTGCTGATTTCTATCATCCCCAAATTGTTGCCTCTCCATTTTTAATCGAGCTGCAGGAGAAAGAGGATGATCTGCACCTGGGAAGCGGAAGTGAGCAGGAAGTGGGACCCTGCTTCACATCTTAATGGCGTGCCCCAGGAACCCACACCTCCACAGAGGCTCCAAGGTTCCACAGCCTCCCAAACAGCGCCACCAGCTGGTGATAAAGTGTCCAAACAAGTGAGTTTGTGGGAGGTGTTTCACTTTCAAACCACAGTTAGCAAGCAGTCTCTCTACTGCTGAGCTACACGGTCCCATATGCTCTTTCTCACACCATCTGTGAAAAAGATAAAACATGTGTCAGTAAGGTTTCCATTACTGTAACAAAATATCTGAGGTAACCAAGTTATGAAGAAGGAAGGTTTGTTTATGTCAGTCTGGGATGGTTTCAGTCTGTGCCTAGTTGGTATCATTGCTTTGGGCTTCTGGTGGTCTAGCACAACATGGACCAATAACATGTTTTAGTGAAGACCTTCACCCCATAGCGGTGGACCAAAATGAAGATATAAGGATTCCCCCAAGTCCCTTCAAGAATGTCCTGGTGACCTGACAGCCCCCACTAAACCCCATATTTCTCCACCACTGTTTGGTGGGATGCACTGCTGGAAAATAGAACAATTTTTAGAGTTCTCCATTTTGTCTTCATTAGGATTTTTAAAAATTTGAACAAGTAAAATAACCTAATAAAACATTTTCCAACACTGTTTCATTTCTCCAGAATATAAACACTTGATGTTTTCTGACATTCAATCATCTCTCAAGAGCTTTCACAAGTTTCTCATGACCATAATCATTCTCGTGTGGAGCCTTAAGTGGCCTCTGAAGAGAGAGGCTCTGGATACAATATATGCTACATTATTACTATGGAAAGTTTTCCTCCACTATGAATTAGCAGATGTTTTCCAACACCTGAGACCTGGATATAGTATTTACCACATTCACTGTATTTGTGAGGTATAGCATGGTAAATAAGAATCTGGAAAATGATAGGCTGATGGATGTTTGAGGGGGAGAAATCACTTACACCAGAAACAGATGACTGCCACAGATTCCCAACCCAAGGATGCCTCTGGATGCTGTCTCCAACCAGGAAGCTAGAGAGTGAGCTGCAGTCTGGGACTCCAGACCCTAGCCCCCCAGGTCATGCCTGCACCTGTCCCTACTGCCCAATGGGTGTGATCAGTGTTGTTCTTAGAAATCTCTTCTGTGCTACTATGATTAAACCTCCACCTTAAACTCCTCTTTGATTTAGTTTCTCCTCATTTCTGTGACCCCCTCTCTCATTTTGAAATAATTGGAACTTTTTATGACTACAAATGCATCAGCCTTAAAGATAGTGGACAACTTATTACTTTTTGTGACTTGTTTGCAAGAAATGCTTTGTGACCCCAAGAATATATCCTTATACCCTTTCTATTGCCAAAGTATTGCTGTATAAAAATTGTGGATTTCTGTAACTCAGGGTAGAAGAATAAAGAGCATGCATGATTCCAGTAGCAACCATGCGTTCCTCTATTACCTCTTAGATTAGATGCTTTCTAAATTCCTTTTGCTAAGCTGTAGCCTCTGACATGAACCCTGGGAGGTAGTTTTTGAGCTTGATTCACAAGCTACCAAAAAGAACTAGTTCAAATTCCAAGATATTTGTAATTGCTATAATAGCAAGAGAACCATGTTTGCGAACAAGAGATATGCAAATCTTCTTCCAGATTATTCTGCCATAAATATCTCGGCAACTGTAAGATAAATGAAAAGGATACTGATTAGATTTGGTTTGTTGATATCCTAGCTTTTCCTTCTCCCGGGGTCCTGGGCAACCTGGCCCTGTTCCTTCTCCCTACTCCTCTCCTCCTGTCCGGGTGGTTTCTCCTCAGCAACTGCCTTCACAACAGCCTTCACCTGGGCCTGTGCCTTCTCCTTAGGGAAACTTTCCTGGTCATGTGGCCTCTCTAGTCCTCCGGGTTTCTCCCCGCTCCAGGATTGCTTTTCTCCGAGTGACAAATTAAATGTTATTTTTGTTATACTGTATGTATATTTCTATGCTTGTTTGGGGTATTATGTTTATACAACTCATTTAAAAATATAATGTATAATTATGCAGATTAGCCAGGTGTTGGTGGCACATACCTTTAATCCCAGTACTGGGGAGGCAGAGGCAGGCAGATCTCTGTGAGTTCGAGGCCAGCCTGGTCTACAGAACTAGTTCCAGGCCAGGCTCCAAAGCAAGACAGAGAAGGCCTGTCTTGAAAAACCAAAAAAAAAAAAAAAGGAAAAAGAAATGCAGATTAATAGTCATCTGTAACAGTCAAACTTACTGTCACATTAGGTATGTCTTCAAGGTGATAAACATATGTTTAGATAGATGGTCTTCAAATACTTCGACGGCATAGAGAATATAGCATTTAATATGTTTAATAACCTAAGGCTTTTCTTGATATCGAGACATGTCTCCTCCTGGCAGCACCAATCTACTTCACAGAAGGTAATGGGTGTCAAAGAAACTCCGCAGGGAGCTTGTTTTCTTTGTGCCAAAAGCTACCCATTAGGGCAAAAAACTACCTTTGCCTCAATTGCTGACAAAATTCTATCCAAACTGGATCAGCAGGACAAAAGAAACTGACTGCCAAACTTTCCCAAGGCAAGGTAGGATAATACTTCCAAATTCCCTGCTTCTTAAAAAAAAATCTGTCAGTTATACTAGCCTGTAGGTCAAATTTGGATGCTCCAACCTTACAGAAGAACTTAGGGTGACTGTTCAGATGGCCAAATGTCACTGTCAATAGGTAGCATTTCACCTTTCTGGGGTCTTTGGCAGAGTTGAAGACTAGGTAGTCATAGGTTTCTTTAGCAATGATAGAAGGTAAATTAGGTATAAAACTTTAGATTCACTAAGATAAAATAGATAATAGAATATTTTCTCTAATTTTGCCAAATACAAATGTACTGGATATTATAACTGTAATTCTTACTGTTTTGTTGTAAATAATTTTGGTGTGATAATTAGGGAGTGTTGTAACTTAGAAAAAAAAAGTACCACAAGAAAAAGGGACAGTAAAAGGGGGGAAGAAAAGGGCGGAGAGTGGCCTCTGGGGACAGGAACAGCAGCAGAAGAGAAAAGAGGGGATTAGACAGGCAACACGCAGAGAGAAATGACAGAGAAACAGAGGGAAATGGGAGGAAAGGGGAACGTAGTGAATATGCACAGGTGGTGCTCTTAGTGGCTGTAGCTGAGGATGTATCCTGTCAGAACACCAAGGGCAGACCAATACAGATGCCTGAATACTAACAGGGAAGGCAGCTGGAATGTGAAAAAAAATTCTCTCACTCTTCCATACCTCACCATATTTTTGCCCACCATATATTTGCCACGATAGTGCCAGGATGCCTGTTGCCACAAGGTTCCCGGTGGTTCCATGGTTTCTCTTCAAAGTCCAGGGAGGAGAGTTCCTTGCAGGAGCATGGATCTTTTCCTGCTCAGTCTTAGTGGCTCTCAGCATGCTCATGTTTTTCTCATTGTGGTCCACGGTGGAGAGCCAGGAAAATTTATTTCTATAACACAATGTAGAGCAGCTTCTTTTTGAATAGAATATGGAATGCACTTAACTGCTTTAAGTATTGGGCTAACAAAATGAGCTATAACAACACGTATTTTAGGAGCTAGGTATGGATTTGGTGAGCCTTCAATTTTAGCATTTGACAGGCAGAATGTGAAGGTGGGTTTCAGAGATACCATGACTAAGACAACTCTTATAAAAGGAAACATTGATTTGTGGGCTTGCTTAATTTCAGAAGGTTAATTTATGATCAAAAGGACAGGATTTATGGTGGCAGATGGGGTTGAAGCTTAAAACTACACCTTCTAATCCTTCCCAAAAAATCCGATAACTGGGGACCAAGCATTCAAATACTTAAGAACATGGGGGCCTTTCACATTTAAACTAGGACATTCCACACCTGACCCACAAAGGCCGATGGCAGTACCTAATGAAAAATGCATTCAGTAGAACCTCAAAAATCCCTATAGTCTGTCACAGTTTCAACTTCATTTCAGGGCCCTATTCTGAGACTTAAGTCAATCTCTTAACTGTAACCCTCCATAAAAGAAAACATGCTTCCAACATACAAAAGAACAGAATATGCATTATTATCATTGTAAAATGGAGGCACAAGGTTATAGCAGAGGCAGGCAGATCTACGTGAGGTGGAAGCCAATCTACTCTCCAGAGTACAAGCCAGCCTGTCTCAGCAAGAAAGAAACAGGAAAAACAAAAAACAAGAAATTAAAGGTATATCCTCTACATTGATTGCCTCTTCTTCTCCTCCTCCTTTTTTTTTTTTTTTCCAAGACAGGGTTTCTTTGTATTGTTTGGAGCTTGGTCCTGGAACTAGCTCTGTAGACCAGGCTGAACTCAAGCTCACAAAGATTTGCTTGCCTCTCCCTCCCAAGTGCTGGGATTAAATGCGTGCACCACCAATGCTGGGCTTCTCTCATTGATTTTAAATTCTCTAAAATGTACCTTTCAGTGCAGTGATAGCACTAATATTAGAGACCGACTGTATTGGTTTGAATAAAAATTTTCCCATTGGCTTATGTATTTGAACTCAAAGTCCTCAGTCACAATGTTTTGAGACTAGTAGTTGTTGGAGCATTGTTGAATATTTTATGGCATTGGTGGATGACCCAGAGGGGGGAAAAAGTTACTAAGTCTCTTCATATTTCTCTCTCCATCCTTAGTAGTGGACTCTTTTACTTTTTGAACCATTCACCAAAATAATCTCTTCCTTACATAAATGTCCGTGGTCAGGGAAATGAACTTTTTCCAGAAACATGGACTTCTTCACTGACATCGGTGAACAATTTACAGAAAAGTAGAATAAGAAGAGACTTGGTGTCTTTAATTTTAATAATATTATAACACCCTAGAACCACAGATGATGGAAGGAAAATGTGGCTTGCTCTTGCCATAAGATAGTTGGGGATGAGGAGATGCAGATTGCATCTCTGCTTCCTTTTGCCAATTTTTTTTCACAGTGATGATGGGTGTGTTACAAGTGAAGTTTTTGTCTCAGGAGCTGTTCTGTTCAATGCTCTGTCTTATGTTCTCAATAAATAGATTACAATTTTCTCCTCATTTTGTGTTATTTTTAGAAAAGGTGTAAGCACTGCTCTCTTTGCCTTTGTATTGCATCATGTGGAATATATTAGTAGGTAAGGTCTAAAGAGTATTGACTTGGTGCTGCACATCAACCACCACTTTTCAAGCATAAATGAATGTCCCACTTAATTTGGAGGAAGTAAGACTGCTTCCACCCTGTGTTTTTCCTCTCCCTGAAGCTACATACTACATATGTAGAAATTCAATACAGCTGTGGCGACATATCTCCTTCTTTACAATGAAGTTTTAAGTATGAGTGTTCATATGCATTTTTTTGTTTGTTTGTTTGTTTTTGTTTTGCTTTGTTTTTGGTTTTTGTTTTGCTTTGTTTTTTGAGACAGAGGTTTCTGTATTGTTATAGTGCCTGTCCTGGAACACGTTCTATAAATATAGGCTGGCCTCAAAATCACGAAATCCACCTGCCTCTGCCTCCTGAGTGCTGGGACCATCTGCATATTTTTTTGTGTACACTTCATGATATATTATGCACCTGGACTCCTGTGGTAGTCACCAAACCCGTCACATTGTATTCAGGTACTATAGTGAGCTGCTATGTGAAGCTACTTCATGGATTTAACAACCCACACATTCACCTTTTCAATAACAAATGGGAAATTCTTTCACCTTTTAATTATATTTATGTCTGTTAGCTACTTTTTTCTTTAAATATGCCTAATGTCCTTTTTACAAGAAGCAGATTGAAAGCCAAGATGCTGACCCATTAAACCTACTACTCTCGGCTCTTGTTTGAGCTGGCCAGTGAGCAGCACTCATCACAGTTGGCACATATCTTTTGTTTCCCACTGATATTATCTTAAAACCAGTCTTTTGCCAGGAATCTCCATGATACAGTGTTCTGTCTGCATATTTACCTGCACACCAGAAGAGGGCACCAGATCTCATGATAGATGAATTAAACTCAGGACCTCTGGAAAAGCATTCAGTGCTCTTAACCTCTGAGCCATCTCTCCAGCCACCACTGAGTTTCTTATAATGGAATAAAAGTAAAAAGAAATAACCAAACAAACAAAAAACAAAAAAAGTCTTATACCTGCCAAAAGGATCATCATGAAGAACACACAAAGTACCCTGTGATATTCCTTTCTCTTCTCAGGGTCTAACTTGGTGAGATATGAGACTCATTTACACTGAGCTCACAAAAGTGCAACACATACACACACACACACCTGTTCACAACAAATGGGATCTGAAAACAGAACCAAGTGTAACTTGTTGAGCCAATCATCTTTATTTGTCTTTCTTACAGAAATATGGGGGGAGGGGTGCTTTACCAGAGCAAAATTCAACCAGCATGGGACACACCTAATGAATATTGGATACACAGAGCAAACATAGGAATATCTACAGGTTAAAGAGTATCCAGGTTTGGTGACTCAATTTGCCAAATCTTCTAAGGGGTATGCTTTGTCTGACTTTCTTCATTTGAGTGAAGCACACTGAATCCTGTCAGTTTCAGGTATTTCTTGAAGTTATTTTGAGTGATGTATTTCTGGCCTTAATCAGCTTCCTCTCAGGGTGGATCACTTCAGTCTCTAGGAAACTGTTACACAAGAGCATTTTTTTCAGTCTTCTCTGTGTTAACTTCATTATGAAGTATGTGAGGTTGAACAAGTAAAAGGTTTAAAGCAAAATTTCCTCACATTGTCACATATTTATAATTTCCCTCAACATAACCTCTTGGTTTCCAAGATTAAACGTTTTAAAGAATTTCACAAGTTTCGCCTGTTCATAATGTGTCTACAGTGTGAAGCTTCAAGTGTAGCTAAGGACAGAGCTTGGACAAAGCACATGACAAAGTTTCCCATGGAAACTTTTCTCCCCAGGTATTAATTTTCAGGTGTTTTCTTAGACTTGAGAGACAAGTAAAGATACGACATTCATAAGGTTTCTCTCCTATGAATTCTTTGATGTGTTCTAAGGTTGGCTTTCTGAATAAAAAAGATTTCTCACACTGACTACATTTGTAAGGCTTTTCTCCTGAATGAATTCTCTGATGAGCTCTAAGATTAAACTTCTGGGAAAAGGATTTGCCACATTCGCTACACTGGTAAGGCTTCTCTCCTGTATGTATTCTCTGATGAGTTCTAAGATAGAATTTCCTGATAAAGGATTTGTCACATTCACTGCAATTGTAAGGTTTCTCTCCGGTATGTATTCTCTGATGAGTTCTAAGACTGCCCTTCTGGGTAAAGGATTTGTTACATTCACTGCATTTGTAAGGTTTAACTCCTGTATGAACTTTCTGATGTCTTCTAAGATCTGCACCATGGATGAAGGATTTCTCACATTCACTACATTTGTAAAGTTTCTCTCCTGTATGTATTCTCTGATGTCTTCTAAGATGAGAGCCACAGGTAAAGAGATTCTCACATTCACAACATTTGTAAGGTTTCTCTCCTGTATGTATTCTCTGATGACTTCTAAGATTGCTTTTCTGAGTAAATGATTTATCACACTCACTACACTTGTAAGGTTTCTCTCCCTGTATGTATTCGCTGATGAGTTCTAAGATAGAATTTCCTGGTAAAGGATCTGTCACATTCATTACACTTGTATGGTTTCTCTCCTGTATGTATTCTCTGATGAGTTCTAAGACTACATTCTGGGTAAAGGATTTCTCACATTCATTACATTTGTATGGTTTGTCCCCTGTGTGGATTCTCTGATGTCTTTTAAGACCTGAAAATGTATAAAGGGATTTGCCACATTCATTACATATAAAAGTTTTTCCCCTGTGTAGGTTCTACCATGGTATTCAAGGTGTGACCATGTATAGAACACTCTAGTACCTTGCTTACATTCAGGAAGCCTCTCCCATCCACTAGTTTTCTGATGTTTTATAAGACCTGTACAGCAGATAAAGGATTTGCCACAAACACTATATTTGTAAGTATGCTCTTCAGTGTGGAATCTGTAATGTCTTTCCAGGTGTGATGCATGAAAAAAGCACTTACCACATTCAGTACATTTGTAAGGTTTTTCTCCAGAATGGATCTTGTAATGAACTTTGAGATGGGACATATACAGAAAAGATTTACTACATTTTGTACATTTATAAGATTTCTTTATAGTATGAGCTCTCTGATGTTTACTGAGGCTTGAGTACATCTTGAACCATTTCCCACATTTCTTGCATTGCTGTGGCTTCTTTGCACTAGTGGCTCTCACTGTGAGTACACATTTAGAGTCAAAACTTTTACCATACTCTGTATTTTTGTGTTCTTCTTTTCCTGTGTGGAGTCTTTGATTTTGACTAGTGATGGAACACAAATCTAAAAAGTTTACACTTTCTCTGTATTTGTAAGGTTCTTCTCCAGTGTCCTCACTTTTATGTCTGTCTGTGTTTAATGATTCAACAGAGGCGTCTCTGTGGTTAAAAAACCAGTCCTCGCAGTTTTCTGCAATGTCCTTTCTGTCATATGGTGTACTTTCAGAAGATTCATGAATAACTTTTCCAAGTCCATTATATTGGGAATGCTTTTCTTGGATATCCATATGACCCTGGACAATGTGCTTTGTACCTTGATCCATAACCGTCTCATATTTACCACATATGCAATGGTTCTCTGGAAAATTAATACAGTTAGGGATAATAGCAATTAATGCATGAGTAAAAGATTCAATTAACTGATGATTTCTAAGACATGAAAACAAGAGATTCCCAGGTATTAAATTTTCATCAAAGTCATTTTGTGATTCACAATCATTAAATGCAAGCTCATAAGAACTTCCACTCTGATATATATGAAGCCACACAAAACAATAATATGCCTTTCATTCTTATATGAAAACTGTACCCTGCAGAAGGTAGGACACATGAGGAGAACAAGCAATAAAGAACTTTGACAAAGGAGTTCTCTGAAGGATCATATGAAGAATGTGACTCTTAAGATTCTTGTTCATGATTCTGAGAGAGTCACACTGGGAAGCATTGCTGAGCTATGAGCTCAGTATGTAACACAGGGTGATATGGAATTCAACACACCCTCTTCCTTTAGTATCTAAAGTACTAGGATTCATGCAGTGACAGTTAGTTACTTTTGAATTCTCCATGGTGTTTTGAGGCATGAGGAAGTGGTAAGAAAACTTCCACATTGAGACCATATCTCAAAAATTAAATAAAAAAACTACATTCTCAAAAACCAACATGTGGTGATATATTGTTTATGTTTAAATAAAGCTTGCCTGAACATCAGCATGCAAAGCTAGCCATAATCATGGAGGGCAGGCAGTGTGGCATACACCTTTAATCCTAGGGCTCAGGAGACAGAGGCAGATGGATCTCTGTGAGTTCAAGGCCACACAGGGCTACATAAGAGTGAATCAGTCTAAAAGAGAAGCAAGAGCTCACCCCTTTAATACTAGTACTAGAGAGTTATGTAAGAGAGGAGCAGGGTCTACAGAATTCAATCAGCTGGCAATTAGTGTCCAGCCTCATTGAGGAGCTCCCTTTTAGGCATGGTAGAGGTAAGAAACTGGCTTGACTGCTTTGCATTTCTGATCTTCAGCTATAACCTGAATATCTGTCTCTAGGTTTTTTATTATTTGTGTTACTCCAACAGCTATTTCTCTATTTATAACCTTTTTTAACTTTTCAAAATCAGAAATAATTGAATACTTTAATCCAATAGTGAAATAAAACATTTCAATTATTATGTGTACTATAAATTTTTACAATGAATATACAGCTTTTTTGAATTTTGAAGTTTTCATTAAAAATCATGAGGGCTGAATAGATTACACGGAATATAACATTGGTCACTCTTCTACAGAACACAGAAAATGTAAAGGAAACATCATGAAAAAGATACGTTAATAACCAGAATTTCCATTAGTGGTAGAAGTTTCTAGACAGTTCAACGAGTTTATATATACACAAAGGAGGACATAAAAAGGATTAATCAGGGACTGTACAAGAACATTCTTACCCACAAAAACTAGATTTTTGTAATTCTCCAACATCACATCCATGTACAAAGCCCTCTGAGCACAGTCTAGACATTCCCATTCCTCTTGTGAGAGGTCCACAGCCACATCCCTGAATGATAACAGATTCTGTAATGGAAAATTACCTAGTTACCATGTTTTAATTACCATATGCTGCTGCACAATATGCTTTCCTAGGTAAAAGATTTCCAATGATTCACAAGTAGTTTTGTAATTCAGATGAGGCACAGAAATTAATCAAGAATAAAGAAGTTTGAGACACTCCCAAGAGATGTGTACGAAGTTAAGCATTGTTGCTCTAACATGGACAATATATAAAATGATGTATTATATTACTTACATTCATAAGGTGTTTCTGGTGTCCTCCAAGACCTGAGCAGCAGATAAAGGATTTGCTGCCATGACTACATTTGAAAATTTCATCTAGAGTTTGGACTCTGTAAAGTCTTTTAAAGTCTTTATAATGTAGTGTGGTTCCCAACACACTCAAAGCACTATACAACAGATTATAAACCTACTTCTATAAGAACCAATGCACTTGTCTAAACTTTAGAGGTACAAGGAATACATAGCACACATACCTACATAATACATTCAGGCAAATATACTGACATTCATAAAATTAATTTTAATTAAAGATACTTTCTAAAATATTCATAATATTTACTGTATTTTTAATCTCTGTGAAAACAGGATGACACAACAGTCTCAAAATCAGTAAACTTTTAGCAATAAGATACACATTTGAGCAGTAGAAATTGGAATATATCTTTATGTTCTGATATCAAACAGGACCCCACTATCACATCTCAGCTGGTCAAGTTATGATGAGTAAAACTATTTTTTTCAAGTTCTATAACTGTTGACCTTGCTCAAGTATCATATATATTAGATCAATCCTGTCTGCAGCTGGGTCTCACCTTACTCTATTCTAAAATGCTCAGTTCAGATCCTGAGGCCCAGGTACAGTGCTCCAGCCTTTCTAGAACAAATATGTAAAATTCAGAGTGCAGAATACACAGATGAATTAAAATCAGAGTTTTTTTTCTTTAAAGAGTAAGCACTGTAATATCAATATAAACATCAGAAGTCCAAACAACACATGAAATCAAATATTTTGTGAAGTTATTTTAGGAGAATATCTTCGCAACAATGAAGTGATTTGAGAAGTCAGAATTAGAGAGCATTAATATTAAATTTTTTCTAAAAGTGGACATAAGCAATACAAATTATAACAATTTCATAAATTCTATGTTATCTCACTACAGAATGAGAATGTGTATGTAAATAAAAGGCATCGTGCCAATGACTTCAAATGAAGTAGAAACATTTTCTGTGAATGAAATAATGTATTAAATTGAGTGACAGTTATACTAACTTTTCATTAATTTAGAAAACACTGATGCTCATGACTTTGGGTCAGTTGACAATTTGAATCTTCTAATTTCAACTTTATTCATTTCTTCAGTATTAGAGCTCATTCATCTAACAGTATTTTAGGTTGTATAGATAAATGCCACTTTTATTCTTCCTTCACTGTTGAGAACAAGAAGATGCAAGGTTATATACTGTCTTTGTCGCAAATGTTCACCAGAAATATAAACCTGTGGTCTGAAGAAATGACTCAGGAACTTGCTGTTCCTGAAGATAAATATAATTTAATTCTCTACACACATATGGCAACTCCCTTCAATGCCTTATTTTAGTCCCAAGTATTTGGTACCAACCTCAGGCATCCAGGGGCATAATGTGTCATGCACTATAGGTTAAAATATTCAGATGAACACTCACATAGATATATAGGATATTATTGTAAATAAACAAATAGAACCATCACCACTACTCTTAAGAATTTCTCCCTACAAAAATCAGTTTCAGGGAAAGGAAAAACATAGGGTGGAAGGAACCTTCTTCCTCCAAAAAAATTAAAAACACAGTGAACTGATTAAGAGGGATATCTGTTGATGCTTGAAAACTGATTCTTGATGCACAGCACCAAGTAAATACTGTCTAGAAAAAAATTCTTAGATACATATTCCAAATGATGGAATACAAAGTGGAAACAGTAGTGCTTATGACCTTTATGAAAAATAAAGCAAAAGAGAAAAATAATCATCTGTCTATTGAGAACTTACCACTGAGAATTGTACAGAGTATTTCCTGGAGACAATGCCAAAAAGAGAAACCAGTATCATCAAAGAGAAACCAATTTTATGGCAAGAGAAAGATACATTATCCTTTCCAGGGTGTTATCCTGATTAAAGACATTGAGTGTTCTCTAACTGTACCATTTGCATAATGGCTCAGAGATGTCAGTGAAAAGGCGTAATTTATTTTCATGTAACCATTCATAAACCTGTGTCTGGAAAACTGACAGTCCTACAAATGCAATTATGAGGCACTTGAAACCTTCCTTCCTCATGAATGTAAAAGGACACAAGTCTATACTATGTAGGAAAAGGCCATCAATATATTTCTATGAGCACCATTTACAGCAGATTCTTCTTCAGAATGGCAGGTATTAATTCCATGAAAATTTATGTCCTCACATTTTAGAATTGAGTGAAAATGTAATGGGCCAAGGCTGTGCTATGTAGATGAATGATCTAAATATTTACTCTGATTTTCAGAGAAGAAAACAAAGATAAATCATAGACAATAACATTACAGACGTAGAGAATTTCAAAGAAATGAGGACATGACACTGACCTGGGGAGTATTCACCACAGAAACATTCATTGTTCTTGTTGCTCTTCTCTTGGCTTCTTTCTCAGAAACAAAGATTGGTATTCTTGCTGAAACTTCGCATCAAGACGTTGACAATACAAAGCTACAAGTAATAAAACTCTGTTATGGATAATGCCAAACCACATAAAAAGACTTAAAACCAAAATGATACCAGAAAATTATCAACATCCCTACACATAGGAGAGAATCAAAGAACATATTTAGAATGGCGAAAGAAAATAATTATAAACCTTATCATTGCATCCAGAAACACAGGCTCTTAAAATAGCGTGGATCACCAATCAAGCAGCACTGCGAACCATCATTAGAGGAAAAGTGCAGGTAGAAAACTCAGAGAGAAATTATCCATGCGAGCATAGCAAATAATGCATTTTATATAAGGAGTTAATGAATAGAGAAGCACTGGGGAGTAACAGACTGTCCAACAAACAAAACATCAAACTACCATTTCTAACAGGATTGAAACAAACACATGAAATTGGTTTTGTAAGATTATATTTCATTGAAAATGTTTCTAGAGAATTTGAGAAATATAGTATTCCTAACTAATACTCAGAAGCAAGTACATTTTTAATTGCCTCTGCATGTAGTGATGCTATCCCTCTTACATCACTGACTGCATCTTCATGTGAATATTAAATGTTTTCATCATCATTCTATTTTTACCATAATTTTAATATGATTAGTTATAACAATTGATGCCTCTTGGCTTTTCCTCCTAAGAGTTTTGGATGATTTAGTAGTTTCTTCATGTTCTCTAAATTTTAAGCTAGTTTCTCCATTTCCTAAGACAATGCTAGCATAATTTTGATAAGATTTTCTTACTATCCTTGCAGAGTATTAAACTCCACCTATATTGCCTTCCCATTGATAAACCAAGTACTCTGTCTTAATGTTAACTCTGCAAGTTATTCCTTGCTATAATTTTAATATATTTTACAATTAACTCCGGTTTGATCCTTCTCTCAAATTGTGTATTCTTCTGTTTTGTTCCTACTGTTTCTGTGAGCATTGCAGGTTTAGGGAGACATCTTGGCTGTTTAGTTTTTCAATACAGGGTTTCTCTGTGTAGTGTTGGAGTCAATACTTCCCTATTATTCTGCAGTACCTGAAAATGAAATCACATATGTCCTTGGGGATTTCCTTATTGGTGTTGTTGCTTTATTATTTATTGATTTATTGATTGAGGCAAGGCTTCTCTCTATAGACCATGTGGACTTGAACTTACAGAGATCATCCTACCTCTGCCTTCTGAGTACTGTGATTAAAGGCATGCACAACCACCACCACCTGGAGAGAAGACACTTTTTAAACATAGCTATTTACTAGGAGTAAAGAATTGTTTTGGACCTGGGCCACTGCCTATGGCCATATGTAGGTCTGACAGCCAGAGTCTTCCATGACCCATGTTGCCACCAAGGCTGCAGGAATGGCCAGAATGTGGACTGTCACCTGTGGCTATTTTGTTGTTCAAGGGCCATGATGCCACAGGGGTCATGCTGATCAGAGTCACTTGTGCTGGTACTGGGGGACATGAAAACCACGGGATCTCCATGACTTAGAGCAACAACAGGAAATCTGAGGTGAGTTTCGATGAGGGCTCAGTGATGATGGTGCACCAGAGGCCTTGAACCAGACCAATGACCCATTTCAATGAAAATTTTGTGGGTGCAGCTGACTGAACAAAAAGTGTATACTGCTTGACACATGGCAGTTCCTGATGACAGTAGGATGAATGAAGAGGTGGTAAAAAGGTGGAGGAGATAGATGGGGTTTTGGATTTTAATTAATGTTTTTGGGGTGGAACATACTGCAGGGGTGTATATGGAGGAGCTGGGTGGTAAGTGGAATTGATGATCATGTGAAATTTCCAAGGAATCAATAAAGAATTATGTTTAAAATTTTAAAAAAGAATAGTTTATTTTTCTGTTTTTTGTTTGTTGTTCTTTTCTCCTTTTGAAAAACTTTCTGTGTAGCCCTGACAGTTATGAAATACTCTGTGTAGATCAGGTTTGCCTAGAACTCCAGGATTCACCTGTCCCATCTTTTGAGTGATGGAACTGAAGACTTGTGTCACCATGCCAGGCTGACTTGTTCTGATATGACTACAGTGGAGCATGCTGCTCTAAATTTGAGAAGATGTGGCATCTTATGCTCTTCTATGGACAGTTTTCTGCAGGCCTACTAGGATTTACTGGTTTTCTGTGTTGTTCATGGTCATTTCTCAATATCTGTCTAATTTCCAACACTGCTGATTGAAGAATGTTAATGTCTGTCTAACTTTCAACATTGCTGGTGGAAGAATGTTGAAGTCCCTTGCATCACTGTCCATTCGCTTCCTAAAGTTCTGGCATTGATTTTTTTTTTTATGTATTTGGGACTATTTTGTTAAATGCATTCATATTTTATCATATAACTTTCTGGCAAATGAACCATTTGACAATTTGTTCATATTTTTAATTTTGCATGTTGATGCTGTGTCTCTGTGTTCTTCCTCCTCCACTGTCTCCAGTGTTTGTTATTGTTTAGGACCTTGGGTGTGCACACTGACTAGGCAGAGAAGAGTTCTCAGTGTATATTAGATGAATATTTTCTTCATGACTAAAAATTTGTGGAGCAGGCACTATGTAAATTTTGGTGGTTTCAACTGCTTTTGAGTATGGTCTGTTCAGTTCATTTGCTTATTATTTATTGTATATGCTTTGTGATTTTTGTTTTAAAATTTTTAAAAAAGATTCATTTATTGTACGCAGAATTCAGCCTGCATCTATGTTTGCATGCTAGAAGAAGGCACCAGATCTCATGTAGATAGTTATGAACCATGTGGTTGCTTCAAATTGAATTCAGGACCTCAGGAAGAAGGGTTCTTAACTTCTGAGCCATGTCTTCAGCCTTTGTTTTAATTTTTGATAAATTCTGAGTATTTATGTATTGTACTATGATAAATTTATTAATAAATACATGTATTCTGTAGGATCTTTCTTCATACTTTTAGTTATTATGATTTCCAGTCAAGTGTTTAATTGTATAGTCTTTTTGTTGATTCTTGCTCTATTGTCCTGTTAATGTGTAGTCCCATTTAGAAACTAGGTCTCTATGTCTATATATTGCTGTATTGTACCTTGTGTCACTCTTCACGTTTCCAAATTCATTGAATTGGTCCGACATTCACTCTTTTACATGTGGATATTTAATTTTTCAAATATGATTAATTGATGTGGCTGCCTATTCTGTAACATGCTTTTAAGGGGCTTGGTGAAATTATATGGTCACAGCTCCTTGGGCTGGTTCAACATCTGCTTTGGTGTCTTTTCTGGTGCCACTCCCATGGTGTTATTGTTTTTGTGGTTTTGCTGAAATCGCAGTTGGGATGATGTTCTATGTGCCTGGGGTTTCTCTGTACTCAAAAAGTCTTAGTGATTTCATGTAAATTTGTTGAATTCTCCTTACTGTAACACTGAATTATATCATGGGGAGATAGATTTAGAATTAGCTACGTGAATCTTTTAACACTGTGGTTTTCACAAAATGCTCCATTGCATATGTACACAAAGTTTTTGATCTTCCAGTGTCATCTCAATTCCTTCAGTGAATTTAAATTTCCATTTTGGATGACTCTTTCTTCCTTGGTTAGTTTTTCTTTAAAAAAAAAAAAAAAAAAAAAAAGAAAAGAAAAAAAAAGAAAAAAACAAAAAAGAAAAAAAAAAAAAAAAAACTTAACTATTCTAAACCATCCTAAGGGGAGGTACCCCAGTCACAGAGAAAACAAACATGGTATGTACTCACTCCCTAAATGAATATTAAACATAGAGCAATGGTTTACCAGAGTAAAATCCACACCTCCAGAAAGCTAGGAAACTAGGGGAACCAAAGAGAGACATATCTGGTCCCCCAGTGAAGGGGAAAGAGACAAGATCTGAATACATTGGGAATATGGGGTGGGGAGAAGACAGGAAAAGGAGGGGGAGAAGAGCAGGGAAGGAAGAATCAGGAAGATTGAGTGGGGGAGATGAATAGAGGGGGAGCAAGAAAAGGGACACATTAATACAGGAAGCCATTATAGGTTTAAAGAGAAAACTGTACAGAGATCCACAAGGATGACCCCAACTAGGAATCTAAGCAATGATGAAGAGGCTACCTTAAACGCCTTTCTCCTATAATAAGAAAGATGATTACCTTAAATGCCATCCTAGAGCCTTCATGCAGTAGCTGATAGAAGCAGAGATCCACAGCTAAGCAATGAGCCAAACTCCTGGAATCCAGTTGTACAAAGAGGAGTGACTAACAAAGGGGTCAAAACAGGCTGGGAAAACCCACATAAAGAGATGACCTGAGCAAATGGGAACTCATGAATCCCAGTCTAACAGCTGGGGAAAAACAGAGGATCAAACCAGGCCCCCTGAATGTGGATGTCAGACAGGAGGATTGGGCAGTCTATGGGGCCTCTGGCAGTGGAACCAGGATGTATCCCTAGTGCATGAAGAAGCCCAGCTCAAAGGCACAGAAAACATATTCAATAAAACCATAGAAGAAATTTTTACAATTTAAAGACGGACATGCCAACAAAGTAGAAGAAGCTTACAGAACACCAAATAGACTGGAACAACAAGAAAATCCCTTGGCCACAGAATAACCAAAACACCAAACATAAAGACTAAAGAAAGAACATTAAGAGCCGCAAAGGGAAAAAGGCCAGTAACACATAAAGGCAGGCCTATCAGAATTCACCTGGAAATTCTGAAAGCCAGAAGGTCCTGGATAGACAGATGTTCTACAAACACTAAGAGATCAGAGATGCCAGCGTAGACTACTATACCCAACAATATCTGTCTCTGGGTTTTATTATTCGGTTTACAGTTGTCAATGTTAGATGTTACTGAATTGAGGTTCCTCTAAGATGACTTTTAAATGATTTTCCTGATTAAATAACCAGTGTCATGGAAAATTTACAAACATATACCCTTCACACAAAAGTATTTTCTTAATTTTCTAACCATTTATGAATATAATTCCAGTATG